GGTGTATGTTATGGTTCCATACACATTTTAGAATTGTGCATTTTATTTCTGTGAAAAATGCATTGGAATTTTTGTAGGCATCACATTAAATATGTAGATTGATTTAGGTAGTATGGACATTTTAATAGTATTAAGTCTTTCAATTTGTGAACGCAAAATTATCTTTCCATTTAAGTGTTTCTTCTGTAGTTTTTCATCAACATCTTATAGTGTTTAGTGTATAGGTCTTCCACCTTCATAGTTGAATTTTCTGTAGATATTTTATTTTTTTTTTTGATGCAACTGAAAATGACATTGTTCTCTTAATTTCTCTTTCTGATAGTTGATCATTATTATATGGAATTGCTACTGATTTTTGTATATTGGTATTTATCCTGCAGCTTTACTGAATTTGTTTATAAGTTCTAACAGTTTTTTTGGTAGTCTTTAGGATTTTGATGTATAATATCATGTCATATGTGAATAGTGACAGTTTTATTTCTTCCTTTTTTACTTGGATGCATTTTAGTTCCTTTTCTTGCCTAATTGCTCTCTCATTAGGACTTGCGATGTTGAATATAAGTGATGAGAGTGGGCACTCTTGTCTTATTCCTAATCTTAGAAGAAAAGCTTTCAGCTTTTTAGCATTGAATATGGTGTTAGCTATGGGCTCAATGTAAATAACCGGTATTATGTTGAAGTATATTCCCTATGCCAAGTTTGTTCAGAGCTTTTATGATCTTTGCTTTCTCAAAACTTAAATTTACTTCTTTTCTTATGAGTAAATAAGGCTTATAAACATCCTTCTGAAGTACTACTTTAGCTGCATCCTAAAAGTTTGATGTTATTTTTTATTTTTGTTGTTTAAAGTACAGTTTCCTTTATAATTTTTTTGACCAAAGGTTACTTGGAATATAATTTTTAATTTTCAGATATTTTAAGTGCCTTTGTTTTGGTTATGATTAGTGAATGTGGTCTACATAATATTATAGTTACTATAATAGTTCCTTGAAATTTATTGAGAAATGATCTAGAATCAGTGGTATTCCAGTGAGTGGGTCCAACAAGATTATGCTTGTTAATGGTGGTGTTCTAGTACAGTATTTTATGTCTGTCCTTTTTCACTTATCCTTTTTTCATCTTTTTAATTATTTAAATGTAGTAAGTTCTTTACTGTGATATTTGATTTGTTGGGTTTTCCTTGAGGTCCTTTGATTTTTACTGCATATTTTTTAAACTAACTTGTCAGATACATACAAGTTTAGAATTCTTTATTCATCTTGATGTAATACATAGTAATTAAAAAAAATTCCTTGAAGTTTACTTAGTTGATGTTAATGGCATCTAACCAGCTTTGTTTAGATTAATATTTTTCTAGCGTCTTTTTTTAAAACTATATTTAGTCTGACATACCTTCTATTTAGTATGTGAGAAATTGGTTTCACAGCTGTAGTAATATGTCATTAGTTGTAAGTTGTACCCTGATTTCAGGTGTGTTACTATGTGAAAAAATGAAAAATTTTATCAGTAAGAACTGATAAAATAGAATTCATTTAACCTTTCATGCCTTTATGTTCTTAAAGTATACACACACACACATTTTAAAAATACTACTTGAGTTTAAAAACTCTGGTCTAATGGGCTTTATGTTTTAACTGAGGTGCTTAGGGTATTTACTGATATTTTTGGGTTGATATCCACTCTTTTGCTTTCTTAGGGCTTCCCAGGTGGCACTAGTGATAAAGAACCCACCTGCCAGTGCAAGAGATATAAGAGATGCAGGTTCGATCCCTGGGTCAGGAAGATCCCCTGGAAGGAGGGCATGGCAACCCCCCAGTATTCATGCCTGGAGAATCCCATGGACAGAGGAGCCTGGTGGGCTACAGTCCATGGGGTTGCACAGAGTTGGACACGACTGAAGTGACTTAGCACAGCACATTCTTACTTTCTGTTTGTCCTACATTCTTTTCTACTCTTTCTGTCTTCTTATTTTGATTCTTTTTTTGGGGGGGAGGTTGACTTCTGCCATTTTATTCCTTACTCATTTACAATTTATAGACTCTTCTTTTACTAGGCTTCTTTTATAGGCTTTTCTTTTATGGTGGTACTAGTTTTACTAAGCATATCTAAACCTTAACAAAGGCTCAATTTAATATCTTTACCACTTATCCAGATAAATGAGGACCTTGTATTGTTTTAACTCTATAATCATCTCATTCTTGACATATGCTGTTACTGTCCAGAATTGTAAGTTGTTGGTTTATTTAAAACTCCATAAAACTAGGCATTGTTGTTAGAGTTCTGTACTCAGTTTGTTTAGGTTTACCCATAAGTTCACTGTTTTCTTTGCTTAGTGCTTCTTAACTCAGTTTCCCACCTGCTTTTCCTAAACTACAATCATTAGGAAGTTTCTTTTAGTGAGAATTTGTTGGTAAATCTCTTAAGTTCTAGTTTTCTGGAAATATGCTTATATTACCCTCCTTCTGGAAGGATAATTATTCTGTACTTGCTAGCCTGTTTCAGCAGTTATTTTTTCTTAGCATCTTGACAATCTTTAATACTATAATTTCTTCATATCTACCTTAAATGTTACTAATTCTCAAGTTTATTTGCTTTATAGCTAATTCATTTAATTTTTAATGTCAAATGCTATCGTTTAAGATCTCTGCTTGTCTCTTTTTCTTTTATTTATTTATTTATTTATTTTATTAGTTGGAGGCTAATTACTTTACATCATTGCAGTGGTTTTTGTCATACATTGAGATGAATTAGCCATGGATTTACATGTATTCCCCATCCCGGTCCCCCCTCCCACCTCCCTCTCCACCTGATCCCTCTGGGTCTTCCCAGTGCACCAGGCCCGAGCACTTGTCTCATGCACCCAACCTGGGCTGGTGATCTGTTTCACCCTAGATAATATACGTGTTTCGATGCTGTTCTCTTGAAACATCCCACCCTCGCCTTCTCCCAGAGTCCACAAGTCTGTTCTATACATCGGAGTCTCTTTTTTTGTTTTGCATATAGGGTTATCGTTACCATCTTTCTAAATTCCATATATATGTGTTAGTATACTGTAATGGTCTTTATCTTTCTGGCTTACTTTGCTCTGTATAATGGGCTCCAGTTTCATCCATCTCATTAGAACTGATTCAAATGAATTCTTTTTAATGGCTGAGTAATATTCCATGGTGTATATGTACCACAGCTTCCTCATCCATTGGTCTGCTGATGGGCATCTAGGTTGCTTCCATGTCCTGGCTATTATAAACAGTGCTGCGATGAACACTGGGGTGCACGTGTCTCTTGTTGGTGGGAATGCAAATTAGTACAGCCACTGTGGAAAACAGTGTGGAGATTTCTTAAAAAGCTGGAATTGTCTCTTTTTCAAAACTAAAACTTTATTATCAGCCACCCAGAGCCACAGATGTGACAGGCAGACTTCATTTGGCATGTGTTTGCGCATTGGTTTGTTTCTGAGATCATTAGCTAAGAACATCACATGGGTTGAACTTTTAAGTAGATGTCTCTAATTCAAGTCTGCACTGTGCTTGGACCTGACTCAGGAAGCCAACAGATGCAAACGCTGATTGTGGAGGATGAAAAAATAGAATATCTTTCTTTGATCCTTGTATTTTCTACCATTATATCTATATTGACTTACAAAATTATAATTTCTGACCTGGAGTTCCTTTGGTTCATATTTTCTAGGTGTGTTTCCATCTTTTTAATTTTAATTTTTCTGTATTCATGTGTATTTTATAGATAGCTTACTGTTGGCACTTACTTACCTTAATCAAACCAGAACATCTGACTTGGCTGTTGAGTTTAACCTATTTTAAGATTTTTGTAATTTCTTTTGTATTAGTGCTTATTCTGCCATCTTATTTTTTGTTTTAAAGTTACTATTTTTTCTTATTTTGTTTCTCTGTTTGCTAGATTAGAATTTTTTGTATACCTTGAGGGTTATATAGACTGTTTTTTTTTTTTTTTGTATTGTGTTATATATATATTATTGCATTAATTATTATTTTTTATTTATTTATTTATTTATTTTTTTCATTTGACAAGAACATTTATTTTATTTTATTTTTTAACTGTTTACAATATGTTTTTTTTTTTTTCCATTGTTGAAAATAGTTCATTTTTTTTTTTTTTTTTTACATGTATTCCCCATCCCGGTCCCCCCTCCCACCTCCCTCTCCACCCAATCCCTCTGGGTCTTCCCAGTGCACCAGGCCTATATAGACTGTTTTTATGCTGTTTCTTAAATGTTAATATCATTGCTGATATTTTAAAATTTGTTTTCCCTGTTCCTTTTATTTTTTTTTCCATTTATTTTTATTCGTTGGAGGCTACTTTCCCTGTTCCTTTTAAAGTGTATTTTTCTTCTAAACTAGACAATCATCTTAACACACCTTTCTCTCCTTTATTTAGCTTCTCTCCTACTTTTTCCCCGCCTTGTTCTGTGTTTTCTACCAGAGTGATGTCATAAGGAATTTTACATATGGATTGTAATGGACTTTTTCTCTGCTTCACCTATGTCTCTCCTTCTTCCCCCCAGTAGAAGTGTTTAGGTATAACTGGTTTTCTGAACCTCTTGTTTTCTTCTCTCAGTCAAAGCCGAGCTGATCTTGAGCACTGCGCTGATATTATACCCCCGCTGGCAGCACACTGGTGACGTGCTGTCTGCCTTACAATGGAGATTGAACAGGCAGTGAAAACTACCCAGCGAGAAAACTCTCAGCACATGTGGAGTTTCTGGCTCTCTTCTTTGGAAGTTTTTTCCTCTGTCTTTGGGACATTCTAATAGTTTTTCTGTGTTAATGCCTTAGATCTGTAAACCTCACTTGAACTTCTGTTGCATCTGTAGGCCTGATGATGATATCATCATTATCGTATAGTTAGTGCTGAATATTTTGGAGCTTACTTTCCAGTAACTTGCAAATGCTGAAGTATTTCTAGAAAACCAAAGTGGAACATACTGTAAACTTTATTTCTTTAAAAAATGTTAATCTTCTCAGTTCTGATAGCATCAGCAGTGACGAGGAAGAGCTGAGGACTCTGGGAAGCAGTGATAGTGAGAGCAGCACTCCAGAGAAGGTCGGGCCCCCAGTCATCATGGATGAGAATAGCTGGTTCCACAAGTGTAAGAGAGTCAAACAGAAGTATCAGCTCACCCTGGAACAGAAGGTGTGTATCAGTCATCAGAAGTCATTTCATGTTGACTCTAGTTACTGCCTGCAGACTGTCACTGCCAAAAGATCTTTTAACTAAACAGACGTATTTACCTACTGCTACTTCCTTTCTGTTCTTAGATTGTCCTCCTCTTAATTAAAAATCAGGCCCAATATTAGGAGAGGCTTTTGTGTGCAAAACTTTTTCTAATTTTACATTTTAATATAACACTGACCCATTTATTCTCCTGTGTGCAGTTTCATTTATATGTTTGAGGTATTAATTTCTAGGATTAATTTTATAAAAGATTATTTGGTTTATGAAAATGTAGTAATAGGATTGCTTAAGAAATTCCATATATGTGTCTCTCTCTTCTTTTTTTAAAATCAGGTATTTTAGCAGCTATTGTGTGTTAAGCACTATAGTAGGCAAAGGGGAGTACATAGCAGACTGGGATACAGACTAGCATCTTGAGTTATAACATACTCATATTTTTCATGTATTGTTTATTTTCCTTTCTTCCCTTTCTTTCAAATTACTGTTATTCATAGATGAGCTACTTAGGAAAAGCCTAGTGGAATTATCAATAGAAATATTAGAACAATAAAAAATACGCTGAGGAAAACGGTTACAAAGGAAATTTACAAATATGAAAAGATTTCCTGTAGACAAACAACTACTAGTTAAGATATACAAAGAAAGCATTAATACCTTGTGAAAGAAGAATTCTGGTACCAGATACCAGCAAGAAGTCAGGCTAAGATAACTAAAAGCCTTTACACTGTAAAAATCTGAAAATGCCAAGTAGAATAAAATTTTGAAATAGTTTCATACTGAACATCTCTCTCAAAGAATAAGAGCTCACTAAGGACATTGTACAGGAGGCAGGGATCAAGACCATCCCCCCAAAAAAAGGAATGCAAAAAAGCAAAATGGTTGTTTGAGGAGGCCTAACAGATAGCAAAGAAAAGAAGAGATGTGAAAGGCAAAGGAGAAAAGGAGAGATATACCCATTTGAAGGCAGAGTTCCAAAGAATAGCAAGGAAAGATAAGAAAGCCTTCCACAGTGATCAGTGGAAAGAAATAGAGGAAAACAATAGGATGAGAAAGACTAGAGATCTCTTCAAGAAAATTAGAGATACCAAGGGAACATTTCATGGAAAGATGGGCACAATAAAGGACAGAAATGGTATAGACCTAACAGCAGCAGAAGCTATTAAGAAGAGGTGGCAAGAATACACAGAACTATACAAAAAAGATCATGACCCAGATAACCACAATGGTGTGATCACTCATCTAGAGCCAGACATCCTGGAATGTGAAGTCAAGTGGGCCTTAGGAAGCATCATGACGAACAAAGCTTGTGGAGGTGACGGAATTCCAGTTGAGCTGTTTCAAATCCTAAAAGATGATGCTTTGAAAGTGCCGCACTCAATATGCCAGCAAATTTGGAAGACTCAGCGGTGGCCACAGGACTAGAAAACATCAGTTTTCATTCCAATCCCTAAGAAAGGCAATCCCAAAGAATGCTCAAACTACTGCACAGTTGTACTCATCTCATACACTAGCAAAGTAATCCTCAAAATTCTCCAAGCCAGGCTTCAACAGTATGTGAACTGTGAACTTCCAGATGTTCAAGCTGGATTTAGAAAAGGCAGAGGAACCAGAAATCAAATTGCCAACATCCACTGGATCATCAAAAAAGCAAGAGAGTTCCAGAAAAGCATCTACTTCTGCCTTATTGACTGCGCCAAAGTGTTTGACTGTGTGGATCACAACCAACTTTGGAAAATTCTTCAAGAGATGGGAATAACAGAACACCTGACCTGCCTCTTGAAAACTCTGTATGCAGGTCAAGAAGCAACAGTTAGAACTGGACATGGAACAACAAACTGGTTCCAAATAGGAACCAGTTTATTAACTGGTTTAATTATTAACTTATTTAACTTATATGCAGAGTACTTCATGGAAAATGCTCGCCTCAATGAAGCACAAGCTGGAATCAAGATTGACCAATAGCCTCAGATATGGAGATGACACCACCCTTATGGCAGAAAGTGAAGAAGAACTAAAGAGCCACTTGATGAAAGTGAAAGAGGAGAGTGAAAAAGTTGACTTAAAACTCAGAAAACTAAAACATTCAGAAAACTAAGATCATGGCATCCGGTTCCATCACTTCATGGCAAATAGATGGGGAAACAATGGAAAAAGTAACAGACTTTATTTTGGGGGGCTCCGAAATCACTTCAGATGGTGATTGCAGCCATGAAATTAAAAGACGTTTGCTCCTTGGAAGAAAAGCTATGACCAACCTAGACAGCATATTGAAAAACAAAGACATTACTTTGTCAAAAAAGGTCCATCTAGTCAAGGCTATAGTTTTCCCAGTAGTCATGTATGGATGTGAGAGTTGGACTATAAAGAAAGCTGTGTGCCAAAGAATTGATGGTTTTGAACTGTAGTGTTGGAGAAGTCTCTTGAGAGTCCCTTGGACAGCAATGAGATCCAACCAGTCCATCCTAAAGGAAATCAGTCCTGAACATTCATTGGGAGGACTGATGCTGCAGGTGAAGCTCCAATACTTTGGCCATCTTATGGGAAGAATTGACTCATTTGAAAAGACCCTGGTGATGGGAAATATTGAAGGCAGGAGGAGAAGGGGATGACAGAGGACAAGATGGTTGGATGTCATCACCGATTCAATGGACATGAGTTTGAGTAAGCTCCAGGAGTTGGTACTGGACAGGGAAGCCTGGTGTGTTGCAGTCCATGGGGGTCACAAAGACTCGGACGTGACTAATCATCGAATGAACTGAACCAAAGGACTGTATAAACAAGGAAGGGCCTAAAAACAAGTGGGTGAAATGAGTTAAAGCCATTAGAAACTCCTGGGGTGGGGGTGAGGGGCCATTCCCTTAACCTAGGTACCTGTGTTTTAATACCAACAGGGCACAGCAAATGTAGGCCCACTATCATTCAAGTTGGAAACTGAACCTCAAAGACAGGAATGAGATGCGCAGTGACAGAGCAAGCACAGAAATTGGTAAACCTTGACTACATGAGATAGCAGCAGTGTTAATGCCACTATGGGGTGGCAGTGGTATTCTGGAATATGCTGATGAACTGGTTTTGCAGGGGAAGTAGATGAGCTCGGATTTGCTTTCATTTGCTGATTTCTCTGGGATAAATACTCCCGTCATGGCCAACTTAAAACTACCTGTTTGATGTTACTGAATGCAAGATAAGGGAGAGATGCACAGTAGCTCACGATTGCATAGTTTTTCTCCCAGAGAAATACAGTGACTGTGACTTGAAGAGCACAGATAGTGATAGTATACTATTGTAAAATACTTGGGAAGTGATGGATTTTGAGTAGTTATTTCTACTTAACTACTACTATTTGAGTAGTAGTTATTTTAAGTAGTGGTTATTTTGAGTAGTTTTTTTTTTAATACAGTTTACTTAATCCTTGTTTTTCAATACAGTTTACTTAACTAAGTTTATATAATTTAATTGTTAATAATAGCAGTGTTTTAACGACTGAATTACAAAATACCAGAAGCTTAACATTCAGGTCTGGCTTCAGCCCTCCCTGGGAAGTAAAATGGAATTAAAACACTCTAATCGTATCAGAAAGGGTGAGAGAGAGTGATTGAAGTTAAAGCTTCTTAGGATCTATGTATTATAAGTAGTGTAGTGTAAAAGGAGTGTAGACACCCTTTTTAAGGTATATGCCTGTTTCCAAAATTGCAGTTAAAGAAATAGAATATCTCGCTTTTAAACTGATAATAAGAAAGAGAAGAAATAAAGAAAATGCGATTATTACAATAGAAAAGAGCAAATGAGAAAAAATGAAGATAGTATTTAAAAAAAAAAACAAAATAACAGAAATCTCAATACAACCAAGAGTCAGCATTGCCATAAAAGGAAAAGGTATAAGCTTGCCAGTTAAGACAAACTCTTGAGAATGCCTGGTGGTCCAGTGGTTAAGACTGTGTTCTCACTGCCCAAGGCCCTGTTTCAACCACTGGTCAGGCAACTAAGTTCTCACAAGATAAAATGGAGAAGCCAAAAAAATAATAATTTAAAAAGTAAAGGAAAAAAGACAAACTCTTAAATTTATTTTTTTGTTTTTATTTTTTATTAAATTTATTTATTTTATTTGGAGGCTAATTACTTTACAATATTGTAGTGGTTTTTGCCTTAAATATATTTTTTAAATCATAAGTTTTAGTGACATGCAGTCTGTTTGTAAAAGGCATGCATAAAATAGTGACTCAAAAAACGTTGAAACTAGGAGGATAAAATAGAGTAGCAAATACTAACCAAAATAATTCTATATTGGCATAATTCACACTAGACATCAAAAGACAAAAAGTATTATTAAGACTAAAGAAAGATATTACCTTTTTAAAAGAGAAGAATTCACCAGCAATCTATAACAGTACTGAACTTACATGCATTTAAAAATTCAGCCATGAAAAATATGAAATAGAAATTAATAGGGTATCTAGGAGAAATGAATAAATCCATAATAATAGTAGAAAATTTTAACATCCCAATAATTACAGATTAAACAGACAAAAAATTGGTAAGGATGTAATGAACTTGAGCAACGCAACTAGTAAGCTTGATGTAAATTATGGTAGGGACTTCTCTGGTGGCTCAGTGGTAAAGAATCCACATGCCGGTCAATGAATGCATTATTTACAATTTTTATTAGTGGACTGCCAGTGCAGAAGACCTGGATTCGGTCCCTGATCCGGGAAGATCCCACATGCCTCAGAGCAACTGAGTCCATGTACTTCTACTATTAAGTCTGTGCTCTGGAGCCTGGGGGGTAACTACTGAAACCTGTGCACCCTAAAGCCCATGCACCACAGCTGGAGAGTACCCCCATGTTCTGCACCTAGGGAAAAGCCCACGCAGCAGTGAAGACTCAGCCCAGCCCAAAATAAATAAATAAGTTTATTTTTTAGAAATATGGTAAATGCTAACAATTAGAATACACATTCTTTTAAAGCATACATGGGACAACTATTTTTTTTTTTTATGGGCTATACTAGGTCACAAAGCAAATACAAAAATGATACAATAGTGACCACAATCCAATAAAATTAGATTCAATAGAAAAAGATTACCACCACCTAAAGTACACCAATGGGGATTTTAAAAAAATAAAGTCTTCTAAATGATGGGTCAAAAAGAAATGAGAAAATACTTAGAAATGAACAGGAATGAAAACAATGCACACTAATAGTACTAAGATGCAACTTGTGCAGTACTTGAAGAATTACTTATCCTAGAAAAGAATGAAAATTAAAGAGCTAAGCATCCAAGAAGTAAACAAAAACAACAAACAGTTCAAAATAATAAAAATAAGAGCAGGTATTAATGAAATAAACAGAGGTACATAATCAGTTAAACCAAAAGCTGATTATCTGTACAAATAAATTAAATAGACAGAATTGAGGCACAGATAGATGATTTTAAGAATTAAAAGAGAATAGACAGTATAACCATAAATGCCAGGGAGACCCCTCCCATATTTATTAATAATTTTATCAATTTTATGTCAGTACCTTAGAAAATTTGGATGAAGAGTTTTTATAAATACTACTTCTCAAAACTTATAGACCTATAATCATTGAAGAAATTAAACAAGTAGTTCAAAATCTGTCCCCTCCTTCCCCTCAAATCACCAGACCTGTTTGGTTTTTGAGGTAGATGCTGCCAAATGTTCAAGAGGCAGTAATTCCTATTTTCTATTGGCTGTTCTTGAGAATAGGAAAAGAAGGAATATTTTCCAATTAATTTTATGAATTCAGTATAACTTTGATACTAATATACAGTCACATGAATTCAAATGGGATATGATTAGTGTTAAAACCTGTGGCGTGAACAGTTCAGCATTATCTAGTAAGTGCGCAGATATCTAAGGCCTATGACCCAGCAACTTTAATCCTAGTCATGTCTCCTAGAAACTCTCAGATGTCTGTACCAGGTATCATATAACTGACTGTTCACAGTAATGTTGTTTATATTAAGAAATATGTAAAATAATCTAAATGGCCATTGATAGGAGAGTGAGTAAATAAGCTGCAGTATTCATACAACAGAATACTATGTGCTGTTGAGAGTAAATGTACCAACTGTAGTGAGACTCATCACTGGATGAAAAAGCAAGTTGCAAAAGAATATGGATAAAACTCAGCCAAACGAAACAGTGTATTGTTTAAGAAGACATACATTTGTGGTGATGCTGGAAGGAAAAGCAAGGGGGTGATAAACACAAATCTCAGGATGTTGTCGTCTCTGCAGAGAACAGGGAATGTGATCAGAAAGACATCATGTGACTCTGAGAGTACTGGCAGTGAATCCAGGTGCTGGGAATTTGTGTTGTTTAATTACTGATGTTTACAAATAATCATGCATAGCTTAAACTAAGCTGTGTCCCAGAGAGACTGAATAATTTACCCAAGGACCCTTAGTTTATAAGTAGTAGAACTGGAATATGACAGGAGACAGTCCCTTACCCTGTAGGCCTAACCTAGACATTATACTGCTTTTCTGTAATATGCTAATGCTAAAATGTTAATAACTGTTTTTGAAAAATAATCACCGAGAGGCAGATTTTTAATTAATCATTCTATAATTAGGTCTGTTTTGAAGCCTGAAGGCATTTAGAGTGTTTATCACTGTTGCAGAGCTTAGAAATTATAATGTTTTAACTCAGTTTTATGTTAAATTATAAACATACTTTATTGAACTTTAGAGAACTTTAAATAATGGAGAACATATGTTAAATTTTTAATTCAGTTAAAGCTGTTTTGTTTACCATTTCTTCAGTGATACTTTGAAATTATTTAATTACAACATAGCTAAGAATAGCATTTAATCTACTCAGCATTGATCTTCAAGATACATATTAGAATTTTGCACTTGTCATTTCCAGGGTTATCTTGAAGAACTCTTACAACTTCGAGAGAACCAGCTGTCTGAATCTGTCGCTCAGAATAAAATACTACTACAGAGGATTGAAGATTCTGACCTGGCTCATAAACTGGAGAAGGAACAATTAGAATATATAATTGTGGAGCTTCAAGATCAGCTGTAAGTGAGTCCTTTTGGAAAAATTTTGGCAGTGTGTAAAGTTAAGAAAAATGTCATGTTTGGCATAGGATTCAAGTTCCAGGAAATCTGATTGCGTGCTATTTAGTTCTTTTTCACTTAGTCTTTTTAAAAAGTTTCCTTTTTTCTGGTCAAACTAATCTATGTTCACTGTAGAAACATTCCAAAATATGGGAAGAAGAAAAAAAGCACCTTCAGTTGTGTTACCCAGAGTTAACTGTGATAATGTGGTGTGTGTTATTCCAAATGCATATGCATAATTTTAAGGTTTTAGTGATTGCAAAAAGATGGCATATAAGATCATCCATTCAAAGTACACTGTACTATTGAAAGTACAGTGCCACTAGATAAACTTTTTGTTACCAGGTCGTGCCAGAATGTCACTGAGGGCAGTTTAGTAGAGCTGACATTTTTTTCATAGCAAGGGTTTTGTTGTTGAAATAAACTGTGTATTGATCTACAGTCTGGCACAGCTCCTTATAGTAGTGTTTAAAGTACTAGTTTAAAGCACTTTTACTAGCCATACCATTTTGTCAAACAATTTTATCAATTAGTTGTTTATAGTGAAAACCTCCTCATGTTAATATTTACTTAAGGATAGTTTTAATTTTTTTTCTTTTTTTAAATTAATTAATTTTAATTGGACACGAATTACTTTACAATATTGTGGTGGTTTTTGCCATAAAATGACTGAGTCAGCCACGGGTGTACATGTGTCCCCCGTCCCGAACCTGCCTCCCACCTCCTTCCCCATCCCATCCCTCTGGCTTGTCCCAGTGCACTGGCTTTGAGGGTCCTGTTTCATGCATTGAACTTGGACTGGTCATCTGTTTCACATATGATAATATACATGTTTCAATGCTATTCTCTCAAATCATCCCACCTTCACCTTCTCCCACAGAATCCAAAAGTCTGTTCTTTACATCTGTGTCTCTTTTGCTGTTTCATATATAGGGTCGTCGTTACCATCTTTCTAAATTCCATATATATGCATTAATATACTGTAGTGGTGTTTTCTTTCTGACTTACTTCACTCTGTATAATAGGCTCCAGTTTCATCTACCTCATTAGAATGATTCAAATGCATTCTTTTTAAAGCTGAGTAATATTCCATTGTGTATATGTACCACAGCTTTCTTATCCATTCATGTGCTGATGGGCATCTAGATTGCTTCCATGTCCTGGCTATGATAAACAGTGCTGCGATGAACATTGGGGTGCACGTGTCTCTTTCAGATCTGGTTTCCTCAGTGTGTATGCATAGCAGTGGAAATAATTTCAAACTTTAAGAAAGGTTACAAAGATAGTACAAAATAATTTCTATATGCTCTTTACTAGATTCATCAATTTTCAGCATTTTCCACATGTCATAATTCTCTCCTTGTATATATAGACATGTTATTTTTTGAACTACCTGAAAGTAGTTTGCATATCCCGTAGTACTCAGTGTGTTTTTCCTAAGAACAATAACATTATCCTAAACACAGTTCAACTCTCATTTTAAGAAATTTAAATCAATAAAATACTTCCATTTTACCTATATCTCATATTTTGCTTTCATCAGTTGTCCAAGTAATGTTTCATATTGCTTTCGTTTTTTTGGTACAGAATCTAATCCAGGATCACATTTTGCATTGACTCAGTCTCTTCAGTTGCTTTTAACGTTAGCGTTCAGTGGTTATCTCAGTCGAGATTGGTATTTCTGAGAACACAAGCTAGAAGTGTTATAGACTGCCCCTCAGTTTGAGTTTGTTTGCTTTTCCTTATAATTAGGATGAGCTGATCCATTTGGGGCTGGACTAGTAGCAGTGTGTTCTCGGGGTGTCACCCCCAGAGGTTCATGAATTCTGTTGGTCTTTTGTTAGTGATGTTAATTTTAATCACTTGGTTAAGATGTTTTTCTCTTCTGTATAGTTACTGCTATTCCTTCTGTAATTAACACATAATTTGCATGCAGATACTTTGCAACTAAGAAAATTAAATGATTTTTTTAAGTAAAAAAGTTTTATTAAGGAACATAAAAATTTAGTGTTTCTCAGAATTTGTGTCTTGATAAGAAGAATTACGTTCACTTATTGTTTCTTAAGATTTAAAAAAAATATTTTAAAGAGAATGTGGCCTGTGGGGTCTCTCTCATTGAGGAGCACGTTAATGCTCCTAATCCTGTAGTGTCCCTCACTACTATAAGCAGGAAGAAAAATATTATGAAGCAAACAATAGAGATTTCTGGTTATTTCTTTATAGTTAAAAGATAGTTAAAAGTTAAAGTAATTTTTCTTTTGCAAATAATACTGGTAGTTTGTCTAAATGCTTTTAACTTAAAAATAATTATGTAGTCAGTTTTTATTTCAACACAGATATATTTCCAAAATTAAATCTGAATGCATCACGTTTATTTTACTTCTGATAATTTAAAGGAAAGTCTCAAACTTTTTAGTTTAAAAAAGAATTTGTGAGTTAGGTTTTATCTTATTGCTATGATAGGAGTGTCCTTGATCTTTCTGGTTTTGCAAAGAAACTTTACAATCATTTTTAATCTTTTTAAGTTACTAATCTCAATACTAATCAATTACTAATTGATTAGTTACTAATCAAATACTAATCAATTTGTTTTAATCTCTTTAAGTTACTAGATTAATCTAGTTAATCTCTTTAAATTACTAGAGCAAAAAATAAAAAGTTAAAGTTACTGGTGAGAATTAGATTATTGAATTTAGAGATTAAAGATTTATTTTCACATAACATGGTTGTAGTCTCTGGATGAGTTGTAAATTGGTGCCTTACAAGATCCCTTTATACAGAAAGCATTGCAGGAACACTTAAGAGTACGGTGTCTTCTAGAATGTTTACAATTTGCTATGGTATCGGAATCACATTTAAGGTACAGATAATCTCTGGGCATTTTTGAAACTGTAGGGAGAGAGTGGACATTTTTTCCTCTCTATGTCACTGAGATTTTTTTCCAACAGGAAGGTCTGCAGTGAAAGTTATAGAAAGAAAAAGGTTAGAAGAGGAGCATTAAATGGAATATGAAGTATGAAATATTTGCTTCTACATTATGTTAATTATCTTTTCCTGGGTGATTAAGATAATTTGCCACTTAACTCAACTTTTTATATATTTCTCAAAGGTTAGATGTGTTTTTAAATTACTGTTAAAATGCTTTAATAATGTCTTTAAATACTCGTGAAATTTGAACATTGTGTAGTTTGGGCAGTAGATGATATGATAGAGGAGCATTCCACAGCTTCGTCGCATCAGGACTGTGCTCAGATACTGGCTCTGTACTTGCCGATTATGAGCTCAGTCTCAGTTGAATTATTTTCTTGGAGCCTCTGTTGCCTTATTGTAACATGGAGATAATATTTGTGTTGTGGGCTATTATGAGTATTAAGTCATATCATGTTTAATACTGTTAGGACAAAGAAGGTAATCAAGATTATTAGTCTGTTTTGGCTTGTAGAAACCTTAAGATCTCCTTAATATATTCACTCAGATGAATATTGAATTTAAAATGTTTTACCTTAACATGCCTAAATGGTACAGCTCAGACAGTGAGTTTGGACTTGATTTATTATCCCTGAGTATCAAGGAATTCACTTTTGAGATCGAGTTTCTAAATAGTGTGCTGTGCTATGCTAAGTCACTTCAGTCTTGTCCGACTCTTTGTGACCCTGTGGGCTGTAGCCTATTCAAGTCCTCTGTCCAAGGGGATTCTATAGACAGAAATACTGGAGTGGGTTGCCGTGCCCTCCTCCAGGGGAATCTTCCCTACCCAGGGATTGAACCTTCATCTCTAAAGTCTTCTGCGTTGGCAGGCAGGCTCAGTGGTAGTTGGATGAATATTTATGATAATATTATAGATCTGTGATAGGCATTCAGAGAGATTTTCTGCTATACAAGTGATTCTTTGTGAAACACTCATTGCAAACTTTGAGAACAGACAGTCTCAGGATACAAGAGCTAAACACCTTGTCATGATTATTATTGATAAAATGTATAATGATTACTTTCTAGTTGATGAAAATTTTCTATTCATGATTTGAAAAATAGGAATAGTAAAATGTTTTAGAGGGCTCCCTAGAGAAGGGAGTGAAGAGTCTTGACTAGCAGAGTGAAGAATCATGCATTGTTAAAACTAGGCCACTGTTAAGGTTCAACAGCCAGTTTGGTGTAGTTCATGGTGAGTAGTAATGGTGTGATCTGTTGGCCTGAAAATCAGAAGGCATTGATGCTGTGGCACCTTGGCTCACAACTTTTAGGATGACTGGTGTGGATACTAACAGAGGGCAATGACATCATCATAGCCCAGTTAAAAAATGGGAGAATCATGGCAGTTACTGGTCATATATATTTTTGGCAGGTAACAGCTACTAAAATATCAAATTGCAATTAGGCTGACATATATTACACACAGAAGAACTGTACAAAAAAGATCTTCACGACCCAGATAATCATGATGGTATGATCACTCACTTAGAGCCAGACATCCTGGAATGTGAAGTCAAGTGGGCCTTAGGAAGCATCACTACAAACAAGGCTAGTGGAGGTGATGGAATTCCAGTTGAGCTATTTCAAATCCTGAAAGATGATGCTGTGAAAGTGCTGCACTCAATATGCCAGCAAATTTGGAAAATTCAGCAGTGGCCACAGGACTGGAAACAGTCCGTTTTCATTCCAATCCCAAAGAAAGGTAATTTCAAAGAAGGCTCAAACTACCGCACAATTGCACTCATCTCACACATTAGTAAAGTAACGCTCAAAATTCTCCAAGCCAGGCTTCAGCAATACGTGAACCAAGAACTTCCAGATGTTCAAGCTGGTTTTAGGAAAGGCAGAGGGACCAGAGATCAAGTTGCCAACAACCAGTGGATTATTGAAAAATCGAGAGAGTTCCAGAAAAACATCTATTTCTGCTTTATTGATTATGCCAAAGGCTTTGACTATCTGGATCACCACAAACTGTGGAAAATTCTTGAAGA